GGAATTAGGGTTGGCACTTAGCGTTAAAAGCTAATTACAGTATACTATAGATTATAGTTCTTTAATAGATTAGAATAAATTTAATTCGTAAAAAAAAATAAAATTTTCCGTGAAAAAGAAAAAAAAACAAAAAACGTGTTTATTAAAGTTTGAATTAATGCTATGTATGTGACGAAATTAATGTAATAATAAAGGAAAATCAATTAAAGAATTAAAAATTACATGAAATATATAATAGGTGATGTTGTGTTGGTGAGTTTAGTACAGCGCATGAATAAGAAAAACGTATTCATATATATTATCGTAAATAAAAAGATTAAAGGTTAAAATAATTATTAACGTCTAAAGCATGGGGTTGCATAATATCGTATATTGCGAGTTGTTTACGTATTAAGATTATTTATAATGCATAACATCATATAGCATATAGCATATCTCTTACAAGATTGTTTTGACAAACTTAATTGAGCAAATTTTCGATCTTCATAACATCACTCAAAGTTTTAGACTTATCTATAAGTGATTCTTGAATGGAAAAATCCACGAGTGTTAATGCTATCATTTTTTTATGCTTTTCTAATAAAAAAAAAAGTTATGAATAAATTTGCAAAATCATAAAAAATTGTACGCGAATATTTCGATTACTGTATTTACCTTTTTCCGTATTGTATTTATTTTTTACCTGGTTTGGCGTACATTTAACTTCAGAAGGATGAAGATATTTATTAATTTCGTCGGACAGAAGTTTCCACGGCTGTTTTCCGAGTTCCTCTATTTTAGCACTTAAAATCAACTCAACATGTTTATCAGTGAACGGATATGATCTTCTTTTTCCTTCGGAATCACTTATATAGACTACAAATAAACATTCCGTTTGTTAAAAATTGTAAAATTAATTAACTGCATAAGTAAAAAGGTTCGCATTACGTACCATCATCTTTCAAGTATTTATTGTATCTGGAAAATCAAAGGAAGTCAGAAAAATACTGAAGATCGCGTGGTCCAGTGGCAATAAGATTAGGTAAATAACACATACTTTTCTTGTATCGATTTGATATTCCTATTTAATCTGAACTTAATATTAAATTCACTTTGAATGGTTTTCCAATCGGTTTTTCGATATTCGATGTTTGCACATTTAATCTCTTTTTTTACTATTTCCGATAGTCCAGATTCCTCCTACAAATCATATTAAAAAAGTGAGTTTATTTTTTTTTTTTTTGCTATTCGTAGCTAGTCTCAGGACCTTACATTCTTTTTCCACCGTACAATCCTTTTCTTTGTTGGAGTTTTTTTGTTTTTGATTACTTTCATTTGAAGAATTTTGATGCTAGAGAGGATAGATCGAGACTGCTTAAATAATGACAAGGATCGCATTTATAACGTTATTTCAAAATGATTTTATCTTTCATCATTCCAAATGAGTATATGCTTCCAGTCTACACGCTGTTTACATGTTTCAGAATTTAATATCGAGGAAATTTAATTAAAATTCCATACACTTAAATTTCAAGACAGTTGCTCGTGGACCACAAACATTAATGCGCATTGTAATTTGTGAACACCGAGAAATGGTAATTTAAATGATCGTAAAGAACCATGACGCGAGAAAGGCCATCAGATGACCTTTGAGATAAATAAATGAGACGAATTCTTTGTTAAATAATATACTGTAAATGGAAGAGAGTGGACTTTATTTTGAACGTGCGCCCATTTGGAAAATATGCCTTGTAATACGTGATCACAGAAATGTACGAAAAACAAAAACAAATTTAGAATCTTACATTTTTACACCATTATCTACGTGCTTGTACGTACGCACGCACAAATTTCCTGAGAAGATTTAATTATGTAGGTATCCGATTTAGCCACGGCGTTTAATTAGCTGACAAATACGATCATAATAAAAGAGAATTGAGATAAACAAATATGTAGAATTGTAAGATTGGAAGGAAAAATTTATGAGTTTACGCAGTAGTGAAACCTTAAATTCTGCAAGGTATTTTTTTTTCGCTTCGATATGACAGATACAAATTCTATCTAGCGTTACCATGCATATGTCATATTAGGTAAATTCAATATTTTCCCATGACCATATTTCCTATTCAGCGTGAACCATGTATTACATGTGTAATCAGACTTGTCCTCATCCATGTATAAGCGCAAACTTCCGAAAGCTTTCCATAGTTCCATCGTACAGTAATACAAATGATGTAAAAAAATCAACGTCATGTGTATAAACACAGCATGCACACAATACTGTATATTGGAAATGCTCTGAACAATGAACATTCCAAAATTCATTCCCCGAACTTTGGTAATGCAAATTATTGATTTTTACTTCTTTTAACATTAACAAATTTGGCATGTATACTGCAGTCTTATACGTTATGCACATGTGAGCACACGTATCAATAATCCACTTAGCATGCATACAGTTGGCTTGATCGTTGAGATAGCATCCATTTTTTGAATTGATTACATGTCCAATTAGACAATGCATGTACGTGCATGTAACAAGAATTTTTGTGCTCAAGTTGTTTTTTCCACCTTGAAAACAAATTTTTAAAAAGATAGTTTTTTATAGTTATTTTAATAATTTTGTGATTCGTTTGCGAGCATTTGTGAATTTTCTAACTCGTGACATATTTGCATTGTTTCGCTTATTATCTTATTATTATGCGTCAGTTTGAATGTCTACGTAAAATTGGAAAATTCTTTACACCACTGGAATTTTTATCGGCATTTTTATAATATTCAAAATGTTGAAATAAGCATTTAATTTTAAAATAAAAATACAAGCATCGTTTCAATTCTTATGCTATTTCTTTATTTATCATCGTTTTTTTGTTTGTTTTATGCTTGAGAATTTATTTGACAATTTGAGCTTGAAATTTTCTAAATCTTGGTACGCAAGCAAACAAAAATTCAGAAAAAAATAATTTTGTTTTGTTGAGATCTCGTATTGTTTATATTAATCATCCATTTAATTACCGTGGGTTGTTTTCTTGAAAATATTTAATAAACAAGGATGCTTGTACCCTTTGTAAACTTTTTTAAAAAAAAGAAATAATATAAAGACTTGAATGAATCATTGGATTTGATTACTTTATTATAAATAATAAATACTTGATATTTTTGCAACAATAAAAATCATTAATTACGGTAACTAGATTTGATACTATGTCTTAAATCTTTACCTGATTTATATAAAATATAATAATTTAATATTTATATTAATTTAAAAAATTTTACAAAAATATTAACACCTAAAATTATTAAACATTAATACAAAATATTATATTCCATAATTACAAAACATCTGATAAAAAATAAATCATAAAAATAATTTGGTTTTTCAAATATTCACATTTATTATTATTTATAATAAAGTTTATATATTATCATTTTGAATAAGTATTAACATTAATATTTTAATAAATAGTTGCAATAAATTATATTTTATATAAAGCCCTTTAATAAATTATTATTATCCTTCAATTAATAAAAGTCTTATATTTAATACTTGTTTGCAATAAAAAATAATAAATAAATAAAACAAAATAAAATTATATATTTTCAATAAAAAATATATTAACATTTTACAAGATTTTTTAAAAATTAATGTATTTTAATATATGTAATAATAATTTAAAATAGATAATAAGATTATCAACAGATTTTAAATAAAAGATTTTTTATATTTCAGATTTAAATAATTTTAAAAATTATGAATTATAATTAATAATATTTAAATAAAATATAAAATTCTTTTTTTTATTTAAAAAATCTATAAATTTAATATAGTTGTTTACAACTACAATATATATATTGCTAAAATTTATAGATTCTTGATATATTTGATATGATTATTTAATACAATTAATCGAATCACTATTAAAACAATAGCAAATAATTTATATTATATATATAGTTATAATTATATATTAAACTTATTATAAATCAATATTATTTTTGATTTTATTTTATTATTAATTTGAAGCTCTAATTATATACTGTATATATTTTACTTTTTAATCTAATAAAATTGTGTTGTTTCTTATCAATATATTAATTTGAACAAAAAAAATTATAAAAAAAATATTAAAACCATTGATTTTTTTAAAAAATTTTATCTATATTTTAAGAATAATTATTTATAATAGATTAATTCAGTATTTTTACTTATCTCAAAATATTAAAAACCTATTAATTGTTATTAATAATAGATTTTTTTTTTAGATATAAATTTTGATACAAGATTGTTTATTTAAATTATAAAAAATCCAGATTGCATTTTATTTTATAAAAAATCAATTATTTATAATTATTATTCTTTTTTTAAAAAAATTTTAATTTGTCAAAATAATATTATTATTTGGAACTAAGCTTTATTAATAAAGTAATTTTTCAATTTAAAAGTTTAATATCTTATTTAATATTATTTAACAAAAAAAGGAATCTCAAACTATTTTTTGAAAATATTATATAAAATCTGGAAATAATAAATAGTAACAGCTATCATTTAATAACATTAAAAAATAAAACCATATTTATTACAAGTATCAATATCAATTATCTAAATTTAAACACTTTAAAAAATATTTAATATTTTTATAAAAATTTTATATTAGTTATAGTATCATTTTTTTAAATAGGCATTAGCTATTTAATATCTTTAATAAAAAATACTTATTTGATGCTAATACATATTAATTATAAAGTATAATATGTTACAATTAATTTATCTAATATATATATTAAAAATAATTAATATAATAATAATAATCCAATTTTTAATAAAATGTTTAATATTTAATATTTGTTTGCAATAAAATAATAATAATAATAATTTTTAATTTAAATACATTTTTTTATTTTTTTATCAACTAATTTATTTTTAAAATAAATGTTTTTTCTTGATTATTCAAATAAACTATTTATATTATATTGTTACATTTTATATATTTTAATTAATTTTTCAAATAATTTTAAATAAAAAAAAATTTTATTATTATTATTAACTTTAGAACATTTATATATTTATATCTAGTATTGCTAAAGTTGGAATTTTATATTTGCAAGTTTAAAACTATAATTAAAAATAAAGTATGATAATTACTTATTTTTTCAAAAAAAAATAATGTCTAAACTATTTTAAAAATATCAATATAAATTATTATGTTTAATTATTTTAAGATTTATATAAATTTTTAATTCTTTTATATATTATATTAAATAAAGTTTTATTTCTTGAACGAAAAATAAAATACTTATCTAAATATTGTTTTATATAATTTAATTTTTGTTTTTTTAAAAGAATTATAAAAAGAATTACATTAAAAAAATTATATAAATTATAATATTTAACTTTTTCAGTAATATTGTAAATTTATTTACATAAATCTTTTCTTTCTTTAAATAAAAATAATATTACTAATTTTTTGTTAATATTTTTATTAATAAATCTATTAACTTTTTATTAACTTTAAAAAACTTTATTAAGATTATAATTTTTAAAATTGGTTTTTTGTTTATAATAAATTTAGTTGTTTAAAAAGTTAACAGATTCAATAAATATATAATTAAATATTGGTTTTTGAGTTGATTATAATTAAAATATAATTTTTATAAGTTATTAAACTATTTTTTTTTATCTTGAGAATTTGTATCTTTGATTTAAAAATTTTTTATAAATATTATTAAACTTGTTATTAATCTTAAAAATAAAATTATAAATATATTATATACATGTAGGTTAAAAAAATTAAAAATAAAAAAGTATAAAACAATATAATTAAACTCTCTTTTGATTATATTCATTTTGTTAAAATTTTTTTATAGTAATTTTAAGCAAAAAAAAATGGTTTACACTTTTTATCACAAATGAGCCCCAGCTCAAAAACTCAAGAACCTTTAAAACAACTGGTGCAGTGGTATAGAACCTCTGGTCGAAGTCCATACAAGTTTGGGAGTTTTGCTTATTCTTTAGTTATATAAGGAAAGGCTTGTAACATTTCTCTTTTCTTTTATTTTCTTGCACCTCTTCTTCTCTTTATTATATTATAAAAACCATTTATATCAATATCATTATATTTACTAAATCAAATACCTTCCAAAAAACATACTCAAACAATATTGTTAGGTCTATTGTTTATTTTAATACAATCTTTATATATAATCTTACCATGACATTATTTACTATACTATTTCAAAATTAGGACTCCTAACGATACCACTTCAATACCATTTCGATATCAGTTTGATACTTAAATTTACTATACAAAACATATGAGTATGTCACAACCCATATATTAAATTTACTATAGATCGGTACCATTTCAATACCAGTTCAATACCAGTTCGGTACCAGTTCGATACTTTTTCGGAACCCTATCCAAAATCTTCAAAAAATTTTTTTCAAAAAACTGAAATCAGCTTATCCCCTTCAGATAATTGTTACTTTCTGATTATTCAATCAGAATTTCATTAAAACAACAAAGAAAAACTGAATTAATTTAAACTAGTTTTTTAACACAACAACAACTACTACTATAATAAATAATGTTAACTATACTCTACTATTTATGTCATTAAGGGTTATATCTCTAAGACTAACGCTAGTACAAAAACTGGATTATTGGCCACCTTTTAGATATTCTTTTTGTTTATATAGATTTTATAGTTTAAGCGACTCAGTTTTAGTTTCAATAGCCAATGTTATTATAGTCCCAGTTTTTTTTTCTTTTCAATTTTTTTTATTTTTTATTTATTTTACATCCAATCAAAAAACTCTAAGTAGGTATAGCCACTATTTAGCTATATTTAACATATACAGTTTGAAACAAAAAAACTGGTAATCAATTTTTTTTATTAAAATTAATAATAGTGTTTATTAAATATAAAGAATAATTTTTATTAAAACTATTTTAAGTTTATTAAATTTTTTTAATAAAAATTAATTTAAATTATTATTATTTTTTTTTTAAATTGCAAATAAGTATTAAATGCGAGACTTTTATTAAACAAGAGTTTATAGTCATTACATTAAAGATTTTTATAAAAAATGTAATTTAGTCCTAGCCTATTGCAACTTTTCCTGTTAGCACTTGACTTGCATTAAGTAAGTTAAATGGTTAATGCCTATTTAAAACAATAATACAATTGTGAATGTAAATATATTTTTATCTGTTAAGTTATTATTTGATGCTAGAGTATTAAGTATTTTATGAAATGTAAAACTATCATTTTTGGTATTGTGATCAGTTTTTGTAGCTGTGGTTTTTTTTCATTTTATCCTGATGTTGGTGATATAGTGGCTGTTGCTGAACATTCCTTCCATACTTTATATAGAATTTTGAGTACTTTGTTTGAGATTGCAGCTTTATTATTTAGTATTTTGTCCAGAGAAGATTGAAGATTTCCGAGTGCGAGATTAACTATATCAGGTGTTGTTATTGTTATAATGGTTGGTAGAAGTGGTTTGTCATTGCCAGGTGTTTGGGCAGTATTCTTGTTTATTAGATCCATAAGTTTGTCTTTTTTTTTTCTGATGGTAGATAAAGCATAAACACATAAAAAGATATGTGGTTAATCTTCTGGGAATGCTTCGCACCATAAGCAGAGGTTGCTATCATATATGTCAGGGTACTTTCTGTGAAGTTTGGCTCTTGTGGGAAGTTGATTAGCTATCAATTTGGTTCTGAAATCTGTGAGACTTCTATATTTCAATTGGTCATTTTTTTTAAGTTTTTTGTTGGCTTTGCAAATCAGTTCTAGTGCTATTATCAAGGAGAGCTTATAAACTACTGATTGGCTCAATAATATGTTGAAGAAGTTGGTATAGATATTAACGAACTTGATCCACTGTGTAATGCTAGTAGCGTAGTTGTTGCTAATTAATAGTGAGATATTATGTGTTTCTGGAAATATTTGTGGAACTGTTGTGCCACTTTGGATGTTAAGTGAAGGTTGGCTTTTAAGTTCCTTTTTGATAATTTACTCCAATGTTATGTTTCTATTTTTGGTTTCAATATTGATGAGTCTAATGTATCTACTGTATGGAATTTTGACCTGGCGGTTAGTGTATTCAGGTAGATTTAAGTTTGGTTTGATTTGAAGTTGACATTGGATTATGGAGTTGATAGGGGTTTCCTGTATATTTTTAATAGAATGGGCCAAAAACATGACTAAGGATTGGTATTTAGGTTGTAGAGTATATTTGCGCTAGGTTTTTGAATGATAATTTTTCCTTTGAGAAAGAAAATAATGATTGTTATAGGGGGCAGTGAGCAGTTGAGAGGACTGTTTGTTATAAGAATGGCTGATAGGCAAGGTGGTGTTGAAGAGAGTTGGAGCGAGAGTTCATTGACATTGTTTAAGAGAAGTGGGTTGTTATTACATATTGTTGTTCATGTTGATTTGATATCTGTAATACTCTTTTCTATGATACATGGTTGGAGATTACATATGCACTGTGTAATTCTTTTATTGGATAAAATTTAATGGTGTTGTTCTTTAACTGTCTGCTGCCAACTTGCGTTTATCTGACCTTGATTAAATCAACCACTCCATTGTTGAAAAAGGCTCAGAAGTGGGGTTTTTGATTGGGTATTGGAAGTGAGCTGCCTAGAATCCCGTGATTTGTTGGTAGAATGTTCTTGAACCAGTTTGGTATTGGTCCAGGCTGTATGTGTTCTCTATATGTATGTAATTCATGTCATAACAATTTGTTGTGGCTATTGTATATGTGAATATCTTTGATGGTTCTGATGTTTGTATAATATAAAGAGAGGGCATTTGCTTTGGTAATTCTTGTTACTAACCTTATTGAATAGTTGTAGTCAGGATTCTTGAATGGGCATGGGTAGGGGCAAATATTGATTTGATATTTTTTTGCTATTTGTGCAGTAAGTGTCAGTCAACAATTCTTGAAATAATATGGATTGCAAATAGGACATGTCCAAATAGCATGTGATACTTGCAAGGATCTGATTTCTTCAGTGAAAAAGTTGTGAGTTTTTCTATTGGCAAGTTTTGTGATTAGAAGTTTGACTGCTGTTATGTAAATTTTATCCTGAAGTTTTATAATATCTAAGCTGGCTTGTGAATGTAGAACTTTATTCAAAATTGTCTTTTCCACACCAAGTTTACTTTTGATGGCTATATTGAGTTTTGCCTGAAGAGCTTTTGTGTCATTATTGTTGAGAATTGATATCTGGATAGTATACTTGATTTGTACTGGTATTATTCAATCTTTTTGATTAGCAATCACTTTAGAAAAGTTTAAGACCTTTTCTTTAAGATAGTTTTTTGTTGCGATAGATGAGGATTTTCAGATAAATAGATTCTGAGATATCTAATAGACTCATTGTATAGTTTGGGTAAAACTGGTGTGTCTTTGACTGTAAGAGCTTGATTCCTTTGATCATTTTTGAATTTCTGATTTGTAATAAGTTCTGTTTTACTTTTGCTGTATTTGATTGAGTTCAGAGTTAGGAAGGAACAAAAGGTATTTGTGGCACTTTGTAAAATACACATGTTTTTGTCAATAATTGCAATATCATTTATATATACTAGGATAGTTGATCTGTTGGTAGGGTTTTTAATAACTGCGCAAACCATTAGGTCATAGAAGATGGTCCATAACAGTAGCGTAAAGATTTCTCCTTGGTTGATTCCCTTGTTAACTTCGAGTAGATCTGTAAGTTTGTAGTATGTGATGATTTTGAGTTTCCTTTTTCTGAGTAGGTCAAGGATTAACTGGATGGTTTGATTTGAAATTTTTATTTTTTTCATTGCTAATTCCAAACTGAAAAGATTTACTGAGTCAAATGCTTTGGATATATCAAATAACACTATTCAAATTTCTTTATTGATGTTGTTTGCTGTTTCGATTTCTGAGAGAGCAATTGAAATTGGTTCTATTGTGCTTTGGTTTTTCAACCCAGCGAAGTTGTATCCTGATAGGATATTGTTCTTTGAGATAATAGTCAATAGCCTGTTATTTAATATCTTTATAAATATCTTTCTACTTGTTTCTATAAGGGAAATGGGACGTGTGTCAGCCAGTTCATATGACCAGATAATCTTTTTAGGTAATAAAGTAATTGTGAACTGTTTTCAAAACTTTGGAATTTGATTATTCAATAATATTTTGTTAAAGAGGTTTCTAAGTTTTTGTTTTGCAGTTGGTCCAATATTGATCCAAGCTTTATATGGAATATGTGTTAGTCCTGGGGCTTTCTGATTAGGAAGTTCTATAAGTGCTTGATTGATCTCTTCTGCAGTGATTTCTTTGTAGATATTTTCGAATGCTTTATCCGAGAAGTCTTTTTTAGGCAGGTACTCTTGTTGCCATTCATCATTTAAAGCAAATTGACTTGCTGCTAGGATGGTTTTAAAGTGATTAGTGATGATTTCTACAAGTTTGTCTGGGTCATCTTGGAGTTGACCTTCATCAAAGAGAATTGAGAGATCTAGTGCTGGCTTGAGGTTTTCAAGGGTCTTCTTGAGTGTATTTTTGGACTTGAACCAGAATCTGGTGTAGTTTTCTTGGACATTCTTTTGAATTTTATCTAGGATGATTTCATTGACCTTGGTGACTTTTTCTTTTAAAAGGATTTTGAAGGTTTTTCTGAGGGAGATGAGAGATGGTGGTTTGTTAGATAAGACTTTGTGAGCACTGGTTGCAACCGGATGAAGTTTGTTGGGCTTTCTGTTTGCCATTATTGAATTGATAACTTTTTGAGAGATTTGATTGCATTTTCATAGTGTTTTAATGGATTCAACTTCTTTGTTGCAATAGTTTGGCTTCTTTTTGATATGTTGTTATCCATGGCACTTTTGATAATTGTATTTAGTAATTTCCAGGATGGATTGGTCATAGCAGTACAGTATATTTCTACTTCTTCTTACATTGCTTGTATTTGTTCTTTGCTCACTTTATAAAACTGGTAGGTTTTTGTTGAAAAGGATATTCTGCTTGGCTTGTATTCGAACCAGTCTAGTACTACGTCTATTTGTTTATGGTCTGTTGATATGGCCTGTTGTTCTGAGATCTTATAGCAGAAAATTTTGCTGGCAAGATTTCTGGTAATCCAGATTTGGTCGATTCTTGACGTGCTAGTAGGGGTTATATGTGTATAGGAGTGTTCTTTGTTTATGGCCCTTGCATATGTACAGTAGATGACAAAAAAATTTGAATTTTTTTTTATTATATAAAAAATTTTTATAAAAATAATTTTAAATATAGTAAAAATATAAATACATAAATTTTGGTAATTTATTTTTTGCCCTTTTTGCAAAATAACCTTATCAATATGATTTTTCATACTATATAATATAAGATAAAAATCGTAATTCAAATCCTTCTATTCTTTTTCAATTATTGTTTTAAATCTATCAATCGTAAGTTTTTTTTTTCATTATCAAGATTCCAACACTTTTTTTCAATATTTCTTTTCATTATAACCCATAAATTCTCAATTGAATTTAGGTCGGGCAAATTAGAAAACCAATTAATTATTTCAATATTGTGAGTTTTGAGAAAATCTTGTGTAATTTGAGCCATATGAACTAGTAAGTTGTCTTGTTAAAAGCATAACCTGTTATTTATGTTTGGAAAAAGGTTAACCTTGAGAATTTACAATATTTTTTAGAATTTAGATTGTCTATGAATAAAACTAAAGAAATTGGTTTTTGTGCCGTAAATATATTCCAAGCATCAATTTTGTAAGGATGTTTAACTATACTTCAGCATGGACATGGATCCGTATGACAATGTCTGACTAGTTAAGTATTACAAAACATCTGAAAAGTTGTTTCATTAGAAAAAATAGTGGTGGACCAAGTATCATCTGCATGATTTAAGATCCATTCAATACATTTGTTGATATGAACAGAATGAAAAAGAGGAATCTGTTGTGGCCAACAAATTACACATTGAAAATAATTTTTAAGAGTATGTTGGATAGTGCACTTTGTTATATTTAAGTTGGAATAGTTTTTATTAAGTTTGACAAGTATTTCTATAGCAGTGATCGAATTATTGTTTTTTATAAGGTGTCCAAGATAATACTGTTTTTGAGTATCAAGGATTTTTGGTTTTCCAGGAATAGAGCAAAAAATAAGGGTGCTATTTTTTTTAAGTCTATTTACAAAACCATATATCATAAACTTGGGAAAACCAATTATTCACATAATTTTAGCAGGTTTCTTAATATTATTAAATCAAAGTTGGCTTATGATTATTTTTTGTGTAGTAGAATCAGTTTTAGAAGGCATTTTTTATAACTAGTATTAAATTAATAAAAAAAAAACTTTTATTTATATAATTTTAATTATATAGTTACATGTTATAACAACTTAAAAAGATTTATAAATATAATGATGAATAATAAAAAAAATAATGCATTTTGTACAATAAATTAAAAATCTGAATTTTTTTGTTATCTACTGTATCTGGAAGAACAGAAATTCATGGTAAATATCAACTATGCCTCCCTGGAATATATTAAAACTCAAGCCAATCTTTCAAGATATTAAGCAAGATGGTTAGAGATCCTTCAAGCCAATGATTTTGAAGTTAAATACTATCCTGAAAAAATCAATATTGTTGGTGATATACTTTCAAGACAGCCATACCTAGCCACCATAACTGTATTGAGTATTAAACTAGCAAATGTCCAAGCTTTTGAAGAAGGATACACCAATTATAAGTACTTCGCCTCAATACGAACCACCTTACAAGATTCTGACCAAACTACAAAAAAAAGCATGCCTGCACCAAACACTTTGAATAGAAAGATGATTGCATTTATTAAAGAAAAACCACCATCTGACTATTCCAAAGAACAAGATGTTGAGAAGCCATATCCTTAAAGAACATCATGAAATAGATATCACCAGACATCCAGAAATTGACAAGACTCTAAATGCTATTATATGAACTTTTTATTGGCCCAAGATAGGTAAAGACATTCAAAAATATGTGCTAATATGTGACTTGTGTCAACAAAACAAACCAAGCAATCAGTAACCTGCTGGACTTCACTAATCCTTGCCAACTCCAAACTAAAGATAGAAAGAAATTACCATGGATTTCATCATACAAATGCCTCTAATCAAGAAGGGACATAATGTACTCATCATTGTATTTGTTGACCGCTTATCAAAAAGAGTCTATTTCTGTCCAATGCACACTACCACCATTGCTTCAAAAGTTGTCAAGATATTCTTCTCTAAGATTTCAAGCACTAAAGGTTATCAAGAACTATTGTATTAGACCAGGATGCAAGATTTACCAGCTGTTTTTGGCAAGCCCTGTTTTAACAACTGGGTACAAAGACTGCCATGTCAACAGCATTCTATCTTCAAACTTATAGACAGACAAAATGTCTCAACAGGATCCTAGAAAAGATACTGTGCATATATGCTATCTACAAGCAAAACCAATGGAATAAGTACTTGCCTGCTACCGAGCTCGCATACAACAATGCCAAACAAGCATTAATAGATTATACACTATTTGAATTAGACTGTGAACAATACTCCAAGATACTTTTGACTCTCATGACATCAACAACTGTATCAACAGCTGATAATTTCATGCACTACTGGAATACTATGATCAAGATTGCCAAAGATATCCTGATAAAAGCACAAGATTACCAAACAAAGAACATCAATTAATATTACCACCACCTGATATTTCAAGAAGAAGACCAAGTGTTACTTTCCCTGAGAAACTTTAATAACCCTATTGATCAGAATCATTTCATAATGAAGCTAATACTAAGATTTGCCAGACCCTATACAATTATTAAGGTAATCTCAAAAACCGTATACAAGTTGAAATTGCCTGCCACTCTGAAGATCTATCCTATGTTTCATGTCTTTCTACTCAAGCCATACAAGCTATCATCAGAGAAATTTGAAAGACCATTACTACCACCAGTTATCTATATTCCTGAAACTAAGACAGAAGAATATGAAGTAGAAGCCATACTGGAGAAGCAAGTTGTCTGAAACAAGCCACAGTATTTTATCAAATGGACTGGATACCTTTTACATGATATCCTCTAGAAACCTCAAAAGAATCTTATCAATACCCAAGAGAAACTTTAAAAATTTGAGTCAATGAGAACATTGATTTCTAAAGAAGTGAGAATGTAACAATCTTGACCTGTAACTGTGTCATAGGTTCCATACTATGCCTAGTGACCCAGATGCCCTGGAAGCTATCTGATTTACCCCAATAACCTACAAATCTGAGACCCATTCCCAGATGATTACCAGACATATATATGATACTATTCTAATCCTTGATAATATGCCATGTCATTAAAACATCATTAATTAATTACTATAAGCTAATGTAATTAAATTAGGAGCATAAGGCCATAGAGTGTACATATTGTTTATATTATTTTCTTTTTATTTTTCTTTTATATTTTCTTATGTTAATTAAGCACATATGTCTCTGGAGATTAAGGCTTATATAGATATATGTATTTTTATATTTATTTATTTATATATTTTTATATTGTATGAAGTCAACATATATAAAAGAATGTCCTTTTGACCTTAATAAAGTTCCAACTCTGTTGACATTAAAATAATAATTGCTTAAGTTCGCTGTCTTTTAAAATTACTAATAATTTTATTAAGACTTTTATATTGTTATAGCTGGACTATCTGATTATTGCTGATATCTTATTAAGCGATAACACTGTCTATATCCTAGTATGCAGTGTTGACATCTCTTTTGGTGAGTCTGTTGCTTCTTCAAAATACTCTTCACATAATGTTGGTAAGTGTTTGGCTTCTCTACTTGAGGCATGTGGATTGTTTACTGAGTTCCACTAACTCTTTCCTTCTCTTTCTGTTGTTGCTTCTCTTGACGGATATTTATCACTTTTTCTTTCATAGTTCCAAGCATCCTATCTGCGACAAGTACTAGATTAGGTAAGTTAATTAGTTTTTACTTCTTTTGGCAACGACTATCACACATTCTAATTAAGAAGGTTTTAATTTAAGGAACTGTTTTTTTTATAATTTTTATACTATTCCTACTTTTTACAATTTTCTCTTCTATTTATATTGTAAGATAACAAGGAAATTAGACTATCGATAGATCATCCTTACAAGAGAAATCATGGAAAGTCTATTTTAAATACTAATTATTTTGTTATTGCTTATGCAACCCTACTAATTATTTCCAATTTTTAAGGTATGCAACACATCAAATCGTGTACTGTGGCCACGCCTCATGCAATTTCCTCACCAACAACAGATTGATAATTATACTGAACAGTATTTAAGGAACCTCTAATGCCATTTATAATATATATGTGAATATAGGTTCCTAAATAGGCATCATCTGTTTAGAGACCCATCTTTATTTATAGAATTATTTAACAATGTTCCAACACTTTTAAAGTGATTTTCAATATGAGTCAAGCCTTGTTTGATTTGTATAAAAAGATTAAGACACAAAGTGTCATTTCTCTATAATAGATTCATCATATTTATATTTTCCTTTTCTAAATTACAGTATATAAACTTGGAGAATTAATTATTAAAAAAACTCTTTTCCACAATGTTTCAATTTGTAAAAAATTTCTTTTTTTGGTAATGACATTAACGACAGACAGTAAACAGTCAGCAAGAATCTCTTCCTGGAGAGGAGTTCATCTTAGCTTACTGTAGGATGCATGGAATTGATTAACTCTCCATAAAGAGGTGGATGTTTAGGGATGGGCAGAAACCTCTTTGACTAAACCCTTTGCTTTACTGAGTAAAACCTATATAAGCAACCTTCAAACAAAGGAAAATCTTTTTACTCATTCAAACGCTTCACTCTTAATACACTCCAAAACCATATACAAAATCAAATACAATCTTATTTATAAGAGGCAGCATTTTATTTTTTCAGAGTTTTTGTTTTCTGCTGATGACAACTAGTGCCAGATTCATCATAATCTTCTAACTAGTTCTCAGTTCTTGTCAATATTACCTTCACATTCACAAAAAGCCAAAATTAGTTTACCCCTATCTAAAGATCTACATTTCACAAACAACCAATTATACTTTGTTCTATATTATTAAATTAAAACAACACAATAACCTACCGGATTGGGAGAGTATGAGATCAGTGCCCTGCATGGGTTCCAGTAATATCATCAAAACAAATCCAAACTAAGAAATATTATACAACTCTGTCTCACATCCAAACACAAACTTGAAATCAATACTCTTTACAGTCAAAAGACTATCATTAATCAAAAAACTATAAATCCGATCAACAAACTATCCACGCCAATCATTTATTTCAACTATAACAGTATTACAACATATACTATAATAATGGAGTTGCACCCCATGTTACTCTGTTCACAAAGCGCTAATGCTTGACTGGAGTGAGTAATTTAAGTTTGTGACTTATTAAGGGTGGCAGCAGGCTTAGGGTAGAACCAATATCAATACTTACAGAAATTATTGTTACTAATAATTTACCAGTTATGCCTAGTAGGGAAGAATTATTATAATAACACTTTCTTTAATAAATTTGAATTTTTTTTTTCTTATGTCCTTTAATATAGAGAGAATTATCCCTTTATTTATAAATAGATAGTTTCTTCTACTTTTTCCAACTAGTATTTTGTAGAATATATCTATCTTAAAATAGTATAGGTTAATGTTTATAGCAACATATCTCAATATATCCTTATTGTTGTAAATTTTATACTTATTTAACTTTGTAAAAATTGAATTAACAATTAATAAAGATCACAATTTGAGACACATCTTGCAAAAAAAAAAAATAAATTTGAAGAGTTTCTTTGAAAAGAAATAACTTTGAATCTATACCTTAAATTTTGAACCTGCTTTTCTGATTCTTGTAATTGCTTCTTTATATTATCAATATAAGATATCTTACTTTGGATTTCTTTTTTAGCTTGATATAGGCTTATTTTAAAAAATAATATTTTTGATCTCAACTCTATCTTTTCTTTCTTTGAAACATTTTCAAGCCATTTCAGTTCTTTATTGAGGAATTTGATTTTATTCTTATATCAAATGTATTTATGTTCCAGATATAGTTTTGAAAATTGGAATTGAATAGAATTGCAGAGAATTATATAAGGTTCAAAATACTATTAAAAATGATAGTAAAGTATACCCCATCTATTAAATTTAATATAAACTTGAAAATTGAATACAGAATTAAAGAGAATTGTTAGGATCTTTAGTTCCAGGTCCTTTATATATTTTTTATTTGATTTGTTAATGACTAACTCCGATTGTAATATCTCTTGGAATTCTTGATTAACTTGTTCCAGCTTGAGTTCTTTACTTATAGCTTATTTATAAATTGTTCAATTGAAAGATCATGGTCTTTGAAATGCCATAGCTATTTTTATGACATAATATATCTTTTATAGAAAGAAAACTATGTTTCTTATTTTTTGACTTTGCTATATATAATTTTTACTATATAGAAAATAATTAAATTGAGTGGGCTCTGAAAAAGTACCAAACTGGTATCAAAATAGTACTGATCTATAGTAAATTTAATATATGGGTTGTGATCTACTTATATGTTTTTATAGTAAATTTAAGTATCGAACTGGTATGAAGTGGTATCATTATGAGCCCTAAAATTAAGCATGTCTATTATTAGAATCGATTCAGATAGTAAATTAAATGTAATCTTTAAATTGTTTTTTTATTAATCTACTAGTTATCATTCTATTGCTTGTAAGTTGTATAATGCTATCAGAGATAAAGAATATAATTTCCTATATATAAAAGTTTGCAAATAGTTATATAACCAGAATGAATGGTAAAAGTATGCTCCATTACCAAAAGATATTCCAAGAGTTAGTTATGGTAAAATTTTACATACTAACTATGTGCACCAGTGTGATCTTTCATATCTCACTAATGATAAAGTACATAAAAAAATATTTAAATAAGTTCTCAATATCATAGATATCTTCAGTAGATACAAATATTCTATACCTTTAACCTCAAAAAATAGTTCAGATATAGTTAAGGCATTCAAGAAAATTTATGACAACTTAAATATTTCTCTTATTTAGCCTGATTTATTATAGTATGATGGCGATAAAGAATTTATAAATGAAACTTCCAAACTTATGCAAGAGCATAATGTAACAGTATGAATCATTGGTACATATAATTATTGTGGTATGGCAATTGTGAAATAATTTAATAAAACTCTAGCAGAAATACTATATAAAGTCTAATATGCTATCAAAAGTATAACTTCAAATTCTAAATTAATAAGAGAGTGGATTAAATATTTGTCAGAAGTTATCAATTACCTAAATAATTATTCAATACATCTTATTAGAGCTCCTGGATTAAAAAAATGGAGATTGATACCTATAAAAGCAGTTAAATTAAAAAAGGTTGAATCTAAACTATCTATAAATATAAATGTTCTGTTAGCAAAAATGAGAAAAATAAGTTAAAAATGAAGAATAGTATTCATTACCTGCTTGCTAATACAAAATGAAAAGGTGATATGAAAAATCAGAGACATGTAACAGATTCCATGTTTTTACCATCTATTTATAAAATCCATAAAATTGTAGTAACAAAAAATGATTTGTTTTTATATTATCTCGAAGATAATGAATATGCATCAAAGCATGGATTTGTAAGATACAAATAGGTCTAGAAAAACTTCAGTACCTGTTCCAGAGTATATTGAAAGAAAATAATTGTTCCAGGTTTATTAATTTCATTCATATTATTAATAAAATGATTAAGGTTGAAGAATATGCAAAAAGTATGATAGAAAATGTCTTGATAAAACTAATCAAATAAATAACTACAATATATATCTCTAATCCTGTAAAAATAGGCTCTATTAATAGGAAGTACTTTATAATACCCAGAAGTGTGAATTCGAATAGTATCCAATTTGTTTACATTTTATTAATAAATGCAAATGTCAATATATTTTTGAGGATTTGTTAGATAAGAAATTCCCATCTTATAAACCATTATTTTTAAATAGGATACAGTTAGATGATTATAATAAAAAGTTAAAATTGACATGGGAATATAATAGAATTCAATATTTTTCTAAGAATTCAATGTTTTATAAACAAGACAAAATAAACTTAGACTCACAAAAATATCAAGATAAAAAAAGTAGAATATATGCAAAAAGCAAAGTATGGATCTTATTTGTATTCTATTTGATTGTGATTTATTTCCTTATATAAAAAGCAAATTACAAGAGAGAGGTTATTTATCATATAAAAAATAAATATTATTTATCTTGATTAGAATAAAAGATAAAGGCATACACATATTTGTATATAATATTGATAAAATGTCTAACAATTCCTCAGAATAAATGAAAGGTAACAAATTTAGTCTAGAGGGTCCATTCAGATTGCTGGTATATGAAAGATTCAATAGTAAAAAAACCAATATGATAATTAATCTTATACTAGGTAATAAATTATAGCAAATGTTTAAAAATAAGAAAAAAAATTATTATATCAAAAATGATAATCTTATATTAATAGACAAGCATTTTGGACCAAAATGACAACTTGTACAAAATAGCTTTCAAATATTTGCAAATATACCTAAATCATATTTAGAAAATGTAATATTTAAAAGAGTATCTCTAGATAAAATTTCAGATATAATCAAATTCTTATCAGATCAAAGTACAGTTATTATATTTGAGGATCTATGTTCTGAATCAAAGAAAGTATAAGAATAAATTATTCCTTACTTTATTAGTGGCTGGCATCAAAATATATTACCAATATATGTGTCACAGAAATATATACAAACACCTAAAATTATTCGCAAAAATTTGAGCTATTTTGCACTGTTTTGAGGAGCTAGGAGCAGAGATGATATTTATAGAACTGTGTGACAATATACAGATAATCCAAAAAAAGCATCCAAAATAATTGATAAACTTTTGCAAAATCAAGAATTCATAGTTTTTGATTTTACTAAGGCAGTAGGTGATTCTTTAAGTATATGGCTTGGTTGGAATACTACTTTAAAATTAGATAAATAAAACCAAGGTTTTAATATTCAAATAATTATTTTTTTCATTATTTATTAATACAACAATATAGTATATATCTTATTAGCCACTTCTATTAAGAAGTTGATTATCTCTAGCTGATGTGAAATTTAAGTAGATGTGTAGACTTTTTGTGTCATTGGGAAGCAATAATAATAACAAGCATGATCTATTATTAACACTAGGGATTTTTGTGTCAGATGAATATTGATCAATATAAAAAAATAGCTATTAATTATTATGAAATAACAGTGAATAAAGGTCTAAAGTATCAACTCTTAGGATTACTTTAGGT